TTCTGTTACTTTAATGCGACTCAGGGTTCATTGGAGAATTCTGGGCCTTGAGGCTTTGTGAGAGGAACCGCCGTTTTTACCCACTTCCTCATTTCTGAGTGAAATTACTATTTGTCAAATTGAACCCAGGTTTTTCCTCTTAGCTGGCATGTGTTCTTTCTCTACTAAATGCAATAAAGTTTTAAGGATTGGGAAGTAGATCAGGAGAAAAAAAACAACAAAACAAAAACCATGAACAGTGGCCCAGGCTTTGGTAACTGGTGCTGGAAGCCCTTGATGGCATCCCTGCCCTGGGACTGCCTGTGTCTGTGGCAGCTACAGCTCAGGGCACCGAAAAATAAAAAGGAGCCGATGGCTATTTCCACCTCCAACCCAGGATGTCTAACATTATAGCTATTTAAAACAGCATAGCTATTTAAAACTTTGGGTCTTTTCCCAGGATTGTCATGGAATGACTTCCAAGTTGACCTGTATTTGCTGAAGGATTCTGATGATGCCCTGTATGCAATTATGGTCCCCTTGGTGATTCAATTCCACTCCCAGGTGTTCACTTGGCAGTGAGGTATGTGAGAACTAAGCAATGCTATTTTTAATAGCAAAATACTAGAAGCAACATGTATTCATGGCCAATATGTTTATTGGGGTGCATTCACATAGTGGGATAGAGATAGCACAGAAATGGATTTAAATACACAGTACTTTAGAAACATAAACTTCAGAAGGTTGATATATATCTGGTACCTTTTGATAAATCCTCCCTTCCCCCAACTGATGGATGGAGGATGCCATAAACTGCACCTATGGCCTGGACATTCTTGAGCACTTAACCAGGCACCTTATATGACTATACATTGAACCATCAATCCCTAAGCCCCCTATTCCTAAGTACCTAAGTGCCTGATCATGCGCCTCATGAAACCACCAATCAGCGTGTGCTGAATACCCTAAGCCCTATCCCTTCCCATTCCAAAAGGTGTATTCACTTCTGCACGTGTGCTCTCTTCCTTTGCAAGGCAGCCCGGCAGGATCCTTCTCCTCTAATAAAGCCTGTGTCCTGGTTTTCGACCCTTCTGTCTCATCTTTCACCTTTTTATAAGCTTGAAAATAAATAAAACCAAATTTCTCTTAAAGCATGTGTGTGATTTTTTCTTAAATTTTAAGAGGTCGTTTCATAAGTAACTTTTTAAATATCAGACAGTGCCTACGTCTGATCTATGCAGGGCAAGGGAATGAATGCAGAAAAGCTCCAAGGTAGAAATAGAGGTTGTATAAAACAAGTTCCAAGCATCTTCTATGTAGCCATAAAAAAATCCTGCGAGGACCCCACATCTACTGGCACATCTCTCAATAGAATGACTTTATCTGAGAGTGTAGAAGAAAAAGGCTGACAGATGCCATTGGAAAGACATGTAGATCAGAAGATGATAGATTTTAGCTCAGTCAGCAGCCAATCCTTTCCAGCTGTTAACTCAGGTTCTCATAGAATCTCTGACACCCTCTGCAAGGCCATGCATGTGTTTGCACAACATGCATGTATTTAGTCTATACCACTGGTCGGCAAATTCATTAGTCAGCAGAGCCAAATATCAACAATACAATGATTGAAATTTCTTTTGAGAGCCGAAAACCCACATCTGTGCATGGGCCACAAAGTTTCAATAGCACTGTACGTGTATGCCCACATGTGGTATTTTGTGGAAGAGCCACACCGAAGAGGCCAAAGAGCCACATGTGGCTCAAAAGCCTGAGTTTGCCAACCCCTGGTCTAAGCAAAAGGGGACTCTGTAGTGAAGTAGCCTAAAGGTCAGTTCCCAGGGGAGGAGTATTGATTCAATTATTTGGCCAGACCTAACATTAGCGAGAAGGTCAGAGTCCTGCACCTGGTGCAGAACTTACCAGTAGTGCCAGGTGAGCAAGCAGGTGAAGAAGGCCCAGACTCCCTGGTTTGCTCAGAGCAAAGGGTGCCTGGCAGGTGCAGTGCGGTACTTGTTGACAAGCACTTTTTACAGGGCCACAATGACGTGTATGTGGCATTGAGAGCTCTGCATGGAGCAGAGGGGTAACAAGATTAAACTGGGCATTTCCCAGTTTATGAGCTGGAAATTGGCCTAGGAGCTCCCTACACAACACGTCTTATTCTTTAAGTGTGAGGCTGAGAACACACAATTCCTGTGGACAGGGGGTTGGAAATGCAGACTCTTCTATGAGCCGAGCCAGCAAAAGCCACCTGTATGGGGGCAGAGAGAAATGATGATTCCTGTTGATTTTGCCCATGTTTGTTGTGATTAGGAGTGAGGTCAGGGAGGGCTCCCTGGGTAAGGTTTTCATAGATTTCTCTTCTTTTCACTAAGGAAAATGCATAAAATATGCACTGCAGACCAGAGACCTGTGTGAGGGGAATAACCCAGGAGTCTCCTTCCTGGCAGTTGGCAGACATGGGGTGGAGTGGAAATTTCTGAAAAGAGGCCATGAGCCCCAGGACTGAGCAAGGCCAGCTCAGACCCATCCACACATTTCTCCCCTGGGTCCTCTACCCTCTGCCCAGGTTCAAGATTTTAGAAATTACTGTGGATTAGGTTCCCACACTCTGAGTAAAAGGATGGTTAGAGCCCTCACACCTGTCAGAATGGTTATTGTCAACAAACCAACCAATGAGAAGTGCTGGCGGGATGTAGAGAACAAGAAACCCTCCTGCACTGCTGGTGGGTCTGCAGACTGGTGCAGCCATTAAGGAAAACAGTATGGAATTTCCTCAAGAGATTAAAAATTGGTACTCCCATTTGACTTAGAAATCCCATTTCTGGGAATATATCCTAAGAAACCTGAAAATCTCATCAGAAAGAATATATGCATCCCTATGTTCATAGCAGCACAATTTACAACAGTTAAGACTTAGAAACAGCCCAAGTGCCCATCAGCAGATGAGTGGTTAAAACAACAACAACAAAAAGCCTGGTAGAGTACACAATAGAGTACTTACACAGCTGTTTAAAAAAAAAAAAAAAAAAAAAAGAGCTCTTATCATCCCCAACAACATGAATGGACAGGAAGGGTATTATGCTCAGCAAAATAAGTCAGAGAAAGATAAGTATCCCATGATCCCACTCATATGTGGAATTTAATGAACCTAATAAGCTGATGAACAAAATAGACTCAGAGACATAGAAGCATGAACAGGGAGGGAAGGCAAGGGTGGGTGGGTGGGAAGACATCAACCAATGAATTTGTGTGCATATATGTCTAACCCGTAGGAGTATGGGGACGGGAGTGGCTGGAAGAGGCTCATAGGAGAAAAAGGAGGACCTATGTAATATTTTCTTTTTTAAAAAATATATTTTATTGATTTTTTACAGAGAGGAAGGGAGAGATAGAGAGCCAGAAATGTCAAAGAGAGAAACATTGACCAGCTGCCTCTTGCCCATCCACTGAGGATGTGCCCGCAGCCCAGGTACATGCCCTTGACCGGAATTAAACCTGGGACCTTTCAGTCCGCAGACCGACGCTCTACCACTGAGCCAAAACGGTTTCAGCAATACTTTCAACAATAAAAATTAAAAGGATGGTGACTCCAGCCCTCAGGTTTCCCTAAAACCTTTCTCCATATCCCTTGTGTCTGAAGCAGAAGTCACAGGACAATCTGAGCTTAGGTGTCAGTGGATCTGAGACTCAATGGGGGAGAATCTCAAACAAGAGACTCCTTTTCTTGGAGAGGGGAAAAGAAGACACCTCTGGTCCCACTGGAATGGAACCAGGGCCTTCTGGTGTAAAGCTAATTAACTACTACACGACAAAAACACCTACTCAGGATGTTTCTCAGTCAGTACAGTAGGAAATTTTATAATTATTTGATTCAAAAGTAAATTTGGTAGGTGCTTGGGGTTTTTTGGCACTACATTTTATTTCCTGGGCAATTCCCTAGGGGATAAATTGGAAATATCCTCAAATAGAATCATTGTAAAAGCACAAGATAAAAATTCACTAAAACCTTATTTTAATCCTATAATCACTTCTATGTCTTTCGTTCATTCCAGGATTATGGAACGATGCGCTGCATATCTTGCCTTCTTTTCTCTGAGCTTTGGCCACTGCCTTCTTGAAGTCATTTTGGGGAGGCCAGCACCGAGTTGGCATAGACTTAAATAAGAGGACATTGTGGGTGAAAGAAAACGTAAGAGCAGAGGAAATGTATCCTATTTATATACAACCTCGCATGCAAATCAGGTAATGATCCAAAGTCCTGTGTCTGTTATTGGAGAGCAATCGGGCAAACTTAGCTCTGCCCAATCAGAGCGCCAGAATCCCAAATTGCACTTTCACTGGTTAAGATGTAGCTGAAACCCTAACCAATGACACATCCTCTTTTTCGCGCCACAAACTTTTATAAAAAGTGCTGCCCGAGTACTTTTGCTTTCGCAGCCACTTGCAGTGAAGTTTGTAGTCAGGATGTCTAGGCGCAGGAAGCAGCGCGCCAAGACCAAGACGCGGTCCTCACGGGCAGGGCTGCAGTTCCCCATGGTCCGCGTGCACCGCCTGCTCCGCAAGGGCAACTACTCGTAGCGGGTCGGGGTGGGCTCGCCCGCGCACCTGGCGGCAGTTCTTGAGTACCTGACGGCCCAGATCCTGGAGCTGGCGGGCAACGCGGCCCGCGACAAGACGCGCATCATCCAGCGCCACCTGCAGCTGGCCATCCGCAACGATGAGCTCAACAAGCTGCTGGGCAAGGTGACCATCTCGCAGGGCGGTGTGAGGCTAAGGCAAGTGCGGAGAAGCCACAACCAAGAAAGGCTCTTCAGAGCCATCAACGCTTTCATTGAAAAGCCTTTGCGCATTAAACATGTTTTTGTGCGATCTGGTTAAATCAACGGAATGAAAGGAGACAAGATCCTGTAATAGAAACTACAAGCCCTAAGCAGCGCAGGGAGTGCCCAGCTATTTCCAGAGGCCTGTGGGTGGCTCTGAAAAGAGCCTTTGGGTTTGGTGGCTGTCAGGAGGCAAACATCCTACTTCTTTTTCGGAGCCGCCTTCTTGGCCTTCGTGGGCTTAGGTTTGGCTACCTTGGGCTTGGCCGTTTTGGCTTTGGCGGCTTTGGCTTTCACAGCCTTGGGCTTGGCAGGGCTCTTGGCCGCCTTCTTGGGCTTAGCAGCGGCCTTGGGCTTCTTGGGGCTCTTGGTCACCTTCTTGACACCGGCAGCTGCAGGCTTCTTTGCCTTCTTGGGGGTCTTCTTCACGGCCTTCTTGGCGCCCGTCGCCTTCTTGAGCTTCTTGGGGGTGGAGCCCGCAGGCTTCCTGGGCTTGGCCGCGCCCGCCTTCTTGGCCTTGGGCTTGGCCTCGCCGGAGGCCGCCTTCTTGCTGATCTTGAAGGAGCCCGAGGCGCCGGTGCCCTTGGTCTGCAGCAGGGTGCCCTTGCTCACCAGGCTCTTGAGGCCCAGCTTGATGCGGCTGTTGTTCTTGTCCACGTCGTAGCCCGCGGCCGCCAGCGCCTTCTTGAGCGCAGCCAGAGAGAGCCCGTTGCGCTCCTTGGAGGCGGCGACCGCCTTGGTGATGAGCTCGGACACGGGCGGCCCAGACGCCTTGCGCTTGGCCGCGGCCCCGCCCGCTGCCTTCTTAGTTGCCTTCTTCTTGGCGGGGGACTTCTCCACGGGCGCCGGGGTGGCGGCCTCGGTGGGGGCTGTCTCCGACATGGCGGTGAGAGTGGCTGGAAGAGCCGAGAAAGAGAAAGTTCCTATCAAACCGAGAGAGGGCGGTTGTGGGCTGCCAGCCGGGCCGGACTTATATAAGCCGATGCCGCGCTGTGATTGGTGGCGCGCCCTATCCACCGCCCTCGGGCGGCCACCTTTAACGGCTGGATTTACAAACTGTGTTTCTCAACCCCCAGATTCCGCTTAAACGTTCAAAACTGGGATACAGAATATGAAGCTTTGAAGCTCCAAGGGCGGAAAGCAGTCTCCCGGCTCTCTGACTTGTGTCTTTGTGCAACCCGTGCCACGGATAAAAGATTTTTTTTTTTTTTAAATCGCTACCATTTCCCATAGAAGTCACCTGGTTTAGAGTATCACGCTACTTAGTTACGTATGGCAACAAATTTCTACTAAATATCAAGGGGACCTTTTTAAAGAAGCTTTGTCCCTCAATTCGGCCTTTGATTTTTACAAGAGGAAAGACACGAGGTTTCTTGGTTTGGATAGAAACTTTGTTTCTAACTGTAGCAATAACACGGGTCTCAGGGCACCTGGTCACCAGGTAGATCTCACTTTGTAACCTGTTCTGCTTCCTAGGAGTTTCCAGGAGTCTCCATCTTAGAGGCAGGTATTTTGCAGCTTGGAAAAGTGCAGTTGCACCAGGAAAAAGATAAATTATTTTGGCTTCAGGATCCAAAGACATAGATTCAAATTCAAACTTGAATTTTATATGTTTTTTATTAAGATGTGTTCTCTCTTTAGTCCCTACCCAAATCTATTAAAATAAGGATGGAAAAATGTTTAGTCCAGATAATCTTTTATTTTAAAAAATCTCTGAAACTTGCCCTAAAAAAATTATTCAAGGGCTTCCAGGAGCTCTCAAAAGCACAAAATGGGACTCTATTTCTAAGGTGCTTTCTTAATGGTCTCATACAAACTCCCCCCTGTCCATCAACATTTAACAAAGTGCACCTCTTCTGTTAGCAGACAGGAGACATCCATGTGGATGTTATTGTGTTTAAGCAAACATAGACCTGTATTTTCAAAAGTAAATGGCAACTGACTAAGAAAGGTGGATTGGGAATTTCCTCCCCTTAAAAGAATTCAGAAAAACATTATCACCCATGAGATCTGAGGCAATGATCAGGAGGCAGGCCTGGAGGGCAGAGAAATTTGCTATTTACTTGGAGGCATGTAGGTTGGGGAATGAATAGGATTTTGTGCCTGGCCCGGATGATAAGGGAGATGAAATGATGACTGAGACATCTCCCATACTCAACAATGGTTAGTGTTCCCTGGGTAACAGTGTAGCAAAAGAGCCAGCACGCTTCTTTCAGCATCCGTGGAGGTGGAACCATATGGCCACGGGTGGCCATATGTGGACATTACCTTGTTTCTGTAAGGCCCTTAAATTAAAAGTGGTGCTTGGATTTTTATATTAGAAAGAAAATATGTGACAGAGGCCACATTTGGCCACCAAAACCTAAAGTATTTATGATCTGGCCCTTTTGCTGTGTTTTGAACTCATCCGCATATTCATGGATCATGGGATACAAGCCTGCCTCTTACAGACAAGGAATAAATAAATAAAAATTAACAAGAAAATGTTCTAGCCAAGCACTTTTAACTGTTTCGATCACAAAACTATAAAGGATCTGTGGCCAGGGTGTGTGTGTGTGTGTGTGTGTGTGTGTGTGTGTGTGTGAAAGCCTCTATGCTTTAAGGACAGGATAGAGGTATAGTAACAACAGCTAATGTACAATGAGCATTTACTAAGTGCCAGGAGCTAATCTAAGGATGCCCTACAGATTTTAATTCATTTGCCTCATTTTATAACTATACAGGCTGAGAGAGAGAGACAGATGGGGGGGGAATGGGAACTTGTCAAAGGTTGTAGATTTACTAATTGGGGGCTCTGAGGTTTGAACATAGACCACCTGGTTCCATTGCAATGGGAAATCCGAGGTGTGGGGAGAGGACAATCTCTGAAGCTCAGAACAGGCAGCACCAAGTTGTCCTATGCCTGGTAGCGTCTAGGAGCTCCAAGCTCCTCTGCAGGAAGAGGCTTTGGCCCCCGGACAGAATGGGTGCTCAATCCATTCAGAGATCCTTCCAAAAGCTTCCCAAGGAGTGGATAGCTGGAATGTAAGGCACTCACTCTGGAAGGGCAAATCCAAATCCAGAAACAGGAAGGGAAGGCCCCTATGGCTGTCCTGACTAAAAACACTGGAGAACTGCTTCCATATAGACCACTGCCACCTGGGGCGAAGATGTTATTCCCATAAGGTAAGTAAGCAGCAAAATGAGGAAGAGACATATCTGGAGCACACATGAGATTTTAAAAGGCTGGAAATCTCGTTCTATTAAAAAGAACCCATAAAATAACAAGTGCACATATAATCCCTAACCCGACACTACTAAAAAAAAAAAAAAAAAAAAAAAAAAAAAAAAAAAAAAAAAAAAAAAAAAATGGGCAAGGAAATCCTTAAAACAAAGGTTTGGAAAACAATGTTCTGTTGGGACATTTTGGGAATTAATCTTACAAAGGACAGCCTGCAGGCCTTCTGCCCATTGGTCTCACAGACACCAAGGAAAACATTACATTGAAATTAAAACCAGCAACATTTTAAACATCAAAGGTAATACTTGTTAAGACCCAACGGAGCAGGAATCCGCCAGCAACCTAGGCCGTGGTTAGGTTTATGAGGCACAGGCAGCTGCTGGAAGCCAGGCTATCATTCGTGTGCATTAAGCATGCAAAATGGGGAATGTGCCCAGAATTCCTTGCCCACACTGAACTTCCCCACAGGGTTGTCTTGGAGTCTTTAGAAGCAACAGCTCTTTACAGACAGTTGAGGGGCTCTGAAAAGAGCCTTTGTGTTTCCGTGTTGGTCGATAGGAAGGACGGAGCTCAGGCCCGCTCCCCGCGGATGCGGCGCGCGAGCTGGATGTCCTTGGGCATGATGGTGACGCGCTTGGCGTGGATGGCGCACAGGTTGGTGTCCTCAAACAGCCCCACCAGGTAAGCCTCGCACGCCTCCTGCAGCGCCATGACGGCCGAGCTCTGGAAGCGCAGGTCGGTCTTGAAGTCCTGCGCGATCTCGCGCACCAGGCGCTGGAACGGCAGCTTGCGGATCAGCAGCTCCGTGGACTTCTGGTAGCGCCGGATCTCGCGCAGCGCCACGGTGCCGGGCCGGTAGCGGTGCGGCTTCTTCACGCCGCCCGTGGCCGGCGCGCTCTTGCGGGCCGCCTTGGTGGCCAGCTGCTTGCGGGGCGCCTTCCCGCCCGTGGACTTGCGCGCCGTCTGCTTCGTGCGAGCCATGCTGAGAGTTTTGTCACCAGTGAACGGGGAGCCAACTGGCCTGTATTTATAGCGACTCCCGCGCTCTGATTGGGCAGTACGCGCTCCTCCCATGGCCTCCCCGCGGATTTAGCTCTTAGTTTAGGAAACTATCTCCCGCCTGTTCGAGGTCTGTGATGATGTACAAAGAAAATGTCTTAGTGACCTTTAAGAAGCATCTAGGATGCATTAAAAATTCTTAAGAAAAGGTTATCTTGAGAATCTGAAAGCTCCTTGCTCTGGTTTAAATAAGAGATGTTCTAATAGGATTCTTGACGAAACCGAGCATGAGAGGGAAGTCATTTAAACGGAGGACTTGTGGTTTCAGCTTCTAGTCACTGTGTTGCCACGTCTCAAACCTAAGCGGGTTTAGTAGTCACTCCAAGAGCGTGTGGACACAGGGCGGCCAGCTTTTCTGTAAAAGGTGACACCACCGACCGGGACACTAGCTTTCTCTGAGGTGTCAGGACCCGCGATGTGGGTTTGAGACCTTGAAGCCTGCGCTGCCATGGGGATGGGCAGGGGGTAACTAGGGGCCCTTAAACTGTTTGGGGCAAGTTACACCATTTACATTCCAGCGAACTCCCAAATCCCCGCTAATCTAATCCGAGGGAGATGCTCTGAGGAATAAAAGGTTTTACTGGGTGTACCGGTTAATGCTTCCCCCCTCTCCCATGGCGTTACCCATGTTGACATACAGGTGACTTGATATGTATGCTATGTTGTTGTATTGCTCCTTTAGATGACCACTTGTCCTGATCGATGGCACACGTGCTTTCTGAGCAGCATTTAAAAACGTAAGAAAAAGTGAAAAATTGGGTCTCTGGATGGTCTGCCTAACAAAAGTTCTATTGGGACGGTACCCACAAATTGCCTGAAAAATGGGGAAAATGTGTAGCTGACGATGGACATCACTTTAAACAAAGCACTTTTGATGTTTCTCTTGGAATTATCGTGTTTTCTTTGATTACAAAATCCGCATTAACCGGTAAATGGTCAATCCACATTTAAAAAAATGCGGATACTGTTTAACGCCCTGACCAGAAGCTGATAGGAATACTAACAGTTTAGCCTGGGGCGCAGGGAGGGGCCGGATTTGAGACTGTACCTCCCTAAGGCAGTTAGACACGGAGCCAAACAGTCCGGGAGACGGAAGGGTCCCACCTTTCTGACGCCCGAGGCAAGCAGGTGAGGAGTGAACAGGCCGCACTTCGGTGAAAATATGCAGCTTTAATGCAGTTTCCATGGGTATCAGGACACCCCCACCCCGCAAGTGGGACTTATGGGCTGGCCGACAGAGCCTGTGGCTGAACCCTTAACTCTTTCCTGGCGCCCTGGGAACCGGGGGATTCCACCACAAACGTTCTTACCCTTATCCGGGTGGGACCCCGAGGATGAACCTGGCTCCTCCAGCCCGTTTTCCAAGAAGCAGGACAGCGCTCAGCTCCTCCGAGAGGGCGTGGGCGGCCCTGAGAAGGGCCTTTAGTTCTGTGCAGGAGCCAGCGGGCAGGAGGCTCAGCCGCCAAAGCCGTAGAGAGTGCGGCCCTGGCGCTTGAGCGCGTACACCACGTCCATGGCCGTGACCGTCTTGCGCTTGGCGTGCTCCGTGTAGGTGACGGCGTCGCGGATCACGTTCTCCAGGAACACCTTGAGCACCCCGCGG